TTCCGATAAATGCGCAATAAACGTTTTAACCGCTCGAACAGGCAGCACCGAATATTAGGAAAAAAAAAAAAAAGGTCCTAATTTATAATAACCAAGACAGTCGAAAGTGTATAGGTATATAACGCGCTTGTTTACACGGAAATGAAAAGGCCGAAGGAGTATAAGCATGATAGGTTTATACGAAGGGTATCAGTTAAAATCCGGGTGAGCGTAAGAAAGCGCTCGACTATGGCCTGCGCCGTATTTAAACATATAGCACCGAGAAATTAAGAGAGAGAGAGAGAGAGGCGACCCTTGGTAAAATTAGCCCGCAACTCCGGTAACGGTATATATAATATACCTATAAGGAGCAAAGCGAAACACGACAAAAGGTGGGCGCAAGAGACGAGAACAACGTGTATAGGATATATGTATACCCAGAGAGTCGCTTGTCTCCGCAACAATGTATTTAATTAACGTAACGGGCGCCGGGGGAGCGGTGGCTCCTGGAAGAGCTTCCGTACAAAGGTACGCACATATATATACACGTAACAGCAACGGCATACCCCACATATATACACCTACAACCAGCAGCAGAGAAAGAGATTGCGCGGAGAGCGCGCGCGCGCGCCCGGCCACAGGGAGAGCCACGCGGGGCTTAAATTAAAAGATATTATAACGCACGCCCGAGATGCGTGTATATACTTATACACCCTCTCACGCATCGTTGTACCAGTTCATGTATATACACATACGTAAGGTGTACGCGTACAACACACTCTCTGCTAAACGGATTAAAACAAAGCAGAAATAAAAAAAAAAAAGTGGAGGTCCCTCGTAAAAGTTAACGATATATATATATATATATATATACATACACACACACGTTAATGCAAGATGAAATGGACGTCCGTATTGCGACGAGGGACGCGTGAATCAATGCCCGTGCATTATTCGGGTGCTCCCTCCATTAGAAATTAATAGCGCTAAGTGAGAGAAGGATCCCGAGGAGTTAAAGAGCGTGACACCCCTGTGCTACACGGCCTGTCGAGAAAATTACGCCTCGCTCGACTGGCTGCAGCCCCGCACTGCGCTTCGTCATACATACATACACACACACATATATATATATATATACACGTAGGAGCATGAGAAAGAGAGAGAGAGAGAGAGAGGTCGAGTGTAATCCAGTTATCGGCCGTATCGTCTCTCGATCTCGGATCCATCCCTCGCGGAGCTTCTGCGCGTGTTACTGCTCTCTCGCTCTTGCTAATAGATGCCAACGACCATGTGACGCGCGATACTCAGTTTAGGGCTGTTATCATAATGGAAACTGCGAGGATCACTGCAAAGACATTACGGACCTTTCTTTTTTTTTTCTTTTTTTTTTTCCACATAGCTTGACGAGGGATTTTTCACACGTTTCATTCGGGCTTGATGGATTGTTTTCGGAAGAAAAAAAAGAATGCAAAAATGACCGTAGACTAAAAATTTGCGCTCCAAAAAGAAAATGATCAACAAATCAATTGAATTGCATTTACATATCAATGAATTCGGGATAAAAGTATCTTGTACAAACAGAAGGAAAAAAAAAAAAAAAAAAAAAAAAAAAGCGGCAACTGCTACCGCATGTGCGAGACATGGGAGAGATGCGACCAACAATAAGTGCATCGTGCGTGTAAGGGAGCAGGGGCTCGAAAGGATCAGCCAACCCCTCCATCTTCCCCTTATTTGACCTGCTTCCCTCCCTTTCCCCGTCCCACGTTTAATAAGCTTCGTTGCACAAACTTTCATCGTGTGTGCGCCACCCTGCAATCTAATAATACCCTGCTCCCCAATAAGCTCTTCATCTTACGCTCTTACACTTTCGGACAATTAAAGTCAATGGTGTTGTTACATAATGCAATACGTACATATATATATATTGATCCCGAGCTTGATTCGCAGCATCGTATAATGATACATGGATAATCAACGATTTTAATCTGTAGGAGATATATCATTACCTGTACAACGTGCAATATAATCAATATACATAATATGTTGCGTCTCTGTGGCAAACGACGAGTAATTTGCACAAGTTAAAAAAAATCATGTACGCACACCGATACAGTTTTAATGGGTTTCGGGGACCACAATTGTATATAAGTAACGGACAACGCATGAAATAATACGTCTTAATCTGTAACGCAAAAGAGGCCGTATCCCATTGAATGTCACACAGAGGATTTTGTCTCTCGTCGCCCAAATGAAGTACTTCGATAAATTGGCCGCGCACGTATAGATGTATACTTATAACGCGGAGGGAGAAAGACGCGATATACACACACACACACACACACACACGCCACTCTTAATATATAATAATAATAATAATGCGTAGCTACACAGCGAGCAGTAGCATTTACGTAGCTGCTAAACGAGGGGGCGTAAAACTTGTTTACCGTATATATATAAACGAGGGGTGCGGGAGGGGGGGGGAGGGTGTATACACTCACATATACGGGGTACAATACAGCGCATATGTATATCGAGGCTCCTCGTCGACGAGGACCGTCTACCAATATATCGATGACGTCAATTAGCCAGTGGAGCAGGATGAGGAGGATGTGTCGTATGTGGCGCGAGGCGCATGTGCGCGCTATTTCCTTGTTCTCCCTCTGATGGCCGCACCACATCATCGGACACACGTCCATCCCCCCCCCCACCCCCGATGCTAGCGTCAGGCGTCGGAGCTCAGCAAACCTCGCTCGGTGCCCGTATCGCTTCGCTCCCGCTGCTGTGATACCATATACTACACATCGGGCGCATAAAGCGACCGACAAGCTATGATAAATCACGCCGGCAGACGGTACACACGTAACACCGTGGCCCGCTCTTTCCCTTCGTTCGTTCGACTCGCTCCTACACGTTATACGCATCGCGCACCCACGCGCCCGCCCCATACGTACACACCCGCGGCTAAGAGAAATATAAGGGAGAGAGAGAGAGAGTGATCTGCAAGTGCAACATATGGCACGGCCCTCTGACCCTGTACAATGCGTGTCGTCGACTAATCAACCTGTTACGGGCGTACGTGGGTATATACATATACACCCCCGCACATCCCTCCCTCCGCGACGTTTAACGACCCTCCAAAGTCCCTACACGCCAAAGATCCTCTTCTCTATCTATCCATGTATACTTGTATCAATACCTGCGTGTGCATTATTTGGTTTCGACGTGTTTCATATACTTACGCTTCTTACACAAATGGTTTACACGAGACGATGTAGCCCCAGGGTGGAAGTAATAGAGTCAAATTACTTCAAAATTCTTTTTCTCCCTTTTTTCGAGTGAAAAGTTGTTCGTATACTTATACTATCGACAATCTGATTTTCGATATCGCGGATCTCGTCAAATTTCATTATTACGGATATTACGGTATTTCGGATTCAATCAGCTCTCGAGCGCATGCATGTAGAGCCGTGTGGATGACCGTTGGATGATTTTTACGAACAACCGACGATCTCGCCATCGATAAACAAAAAGAGATGGCGATGGGGGTGCATTTACGCAGAGAAAATGAGATGGGCAAAAAATTTTGTATATGGATGCTCGATGTGTTTGCAGGTGAGGCTGTATATACGCATATACTCGTACACTCACGTATACTTGGTATAATACACGATAATGCGCCCCTCTGTATTCCACTCTCGTAGCTCCGTGCCCTCTTGCACCTTATATATGTATCAATACACGTTTCCAGGGCTCATCTCCGTGTAACGTATACAACCTATACCCATATATTCGTGCAAGTCGAGAGCTCACCGAGGACGAAAATGGCTTCACCGATTCGCGCTATCCCTCTGGATACATTCCATTTTTTTCTTTTTTTTTTTTTTTTNGAGCGTAAGAAAGCGCTCGACTATGGCCTGCGCCGTATTTAAACATATAGCACCGAGAAATTAAGAGAGAGAGAGAGAGAGGCGACCCTTGGTAAAATTAGCCCGCAACTCCGGTAACGGTATATATAATATACCTATAAGGAGCAAAGCGAAACACGACAAAAGGTGGGCGCAAGAGACGAGAACAACGTGTATAGGATATATGTATACCCAGAGAGTCGCTTGTCTCCGCAACAATGTATTTAATTAACGTAACGGGCGCCGGGGGAGCGGTGGCTCCTGGAAGAGCTTCCGTACAAAGGTACGCACATATATATACACGTAACAGCAACGGCATACCCCACATATATACACCTACAACCAGCAGCAGAGAAAGAGATTGCGCGGAGAGCGCGCGCGCGCGCCCGGCCACAGGGAGAGCCACGCGGGGCTTAAATTAAAAGATATTATAACGCACGCCCGAGATGCGTGTATATACTTATACACCCTCTCACGCATCGTTGTACCAGTTCATGTATATACACATACGTCATGTGTACGCGTTACGCGTACAACACACTCTCTGCTAAACGGATTAAAACAAAGCAGAAAAAAAAAGTGGAGGTCCCTCGTAAAAGTTAACGGGGCGCTCGGATGAAAATTAAAACGGCCGAAGAATAAGAGAACACGCGCGCGCGGGAGAGATTACCCCGCACGCAGCCTTTTTTTTTTTTTTCTCTTTATCTCGCTCGTCTTCTCCAGACTTATTCTTTTCCACCCCTTCCTCCTTATATAGGCCCGTCTTTCGTATATACCATACAATGGCCATTACGCAATCCCGGCGCACCAGTATAAAAAAAAAAAACACAGCTCCATCGTTTTACTATATATACTCTGCTTGCCCATGAACAATATATACTTACTTACACCTTCGAGTGTGAGCAACGCGTAATCCAAAGATATACATATTACACCAATATACATATATGTATGTACTATATAGGGAACTTTTAATATTGTTTTTTTTTTTTTTCTTACTCTCCACCTCTGAATGGTTGACATCGTAAAGGGGCAGATAGGCCATCGGGTAACCGCATTGTAATCTCAGAAATGGATGAAAAATGTTGATAATAAAAAGGCGGTTTGTTGAAACAGGTGTGGTTTCAAAATCGGCGGACCAAGTGGCGGAAGAAGCACGCCGCGGAGATGGCGACGGCGAAGCGCCGACAAGAGGAGGTCGAGGGCGTAGTCGGGGAGACGGAGGACGGCTGCAGCGACGGCGAGGCGTCCGAGGCCGGGAGCAGCAGCGGCGGGGGCGGCTCGGTCAACGAGACGGCGGCCAAACGGTTGAGGCGCGAGCTCGAGCACCAGTACGGGCCCTGAGCTGACACTCCTATATAAATATATATCACAATATACTATTGGTGTACCCACGACGATGACGCAGACGATGATGACTATACTGCTGCAACCATCATGGAACCATATGTATACGCGGACTCCTGCGCGTAGGCGTGGCTCGCTCTCCGTATCATCATGATTGTGTATATAATACGCGGCTATATACGTTCGGCCGAGTGGATATCATACATATATATATATACGTACAGCGTGTAGGTATACGCACATCCACGGAAGGAGGAGGGAGCAACTCGCAGGGGGCGGCGCCTAACCGACCTCGCCGTGCTACTTCGATCGCTCCCTTATACATATACCTACACCACCCTCCTCGATATAGTATATGTATTTTACTATACGTACGTGTGCTCGTGTACGCGTACACCAGGATTCGCGAGCTATGGGGGCTGGAAAAAAAAAAAGAAAAAAAAAAAAAGAGGAGGAAGAATCAGCTTCGGGGAGGATGATGACGCGCGGCTACGACGACACGAAGCGATCGTACCTACTACTGTAATCACCTATATATATATACCATGTATTACCTATGTAACTTGCCACTTTATTAAAATTACATATATATATATATATACACCTATACTTTTGTACATATATAATATAATATAAACAGAG